ATTAGGCGATTCCTGGAGTAAACGTTTTAACATAGAGTTCGTAATTCCATCTAGTATTGGAGCTGTTCACGGTAAGCATAATACTGTCTGACTAAATTCAGCTAAAGAAACTTCTGAAAGCTCATGCGAGTTTACCAGCATGTACCCAATAGCAGAAAGATTAGCAGTGAAGCGGAGTTCGAAACCTTGCGCTATGTCTTCTGGAGAGGTGTTCATTTCTTGCAGCGTCAAGACACATGCCTGCAATGTTAAAGGTGCTGGCTTTACTTTTCTTGTCCGAAGATAAGCGAACAAAGCACGCTTATTTTTTGATTGAGAAAGAAAATCGAAATGTTTACTGTCGTATTCTTCTTTCGCTCTGTTCACTGTACGCCCAAATACCCCAGCAAGGAATTGATAGTCCTTCCAGTTTGTTGGGCTTTGATTATGAAGAAGCTTTTTCCAAGCGGCTTTTCGTCTTCTATAATCACGCGTACACTCATCGTTCTACCAATGAGAGGAGGATCGTTTATTCGATGGATTTGATTGATTGATTTGTGGGTTTCAACGTCCCAAAACCACCATATGATTATGAGAGACGCCGTAGTGGAGGGCTTCGGAAATTTAGACCACCTGGGGTTCTTTAACGTGCACCCTAATCTGAGTACACGGGCCTACAACATTTCCGCTTCCATCGTAAATGCAGCCGCCACAGCCGGGATTTGATCCCGCGACCTGCGGGTCAGCAGCCGAGTACCTTAATCACTGGACCACCGTGGCGGGGCCGTTTATTTGATGGAATAGAAAATTTGGAACTTTTTCTAGATCCCTCCAGCATCGAACCAATCGTAGATTCAATTTCCTTAGTACTGGCATTTCCAAGCTTAGAAATGGCAGAACCATTTCCGAGACACGAGAGGTTGTTATCAATAGTCCATTCCCACAGTCACCTACCACAAGAGTCTGTCCTTATACCCCAAAACAAATGATGTGAATAAAGTCTCCTGTGAGTACAATTTCCTTTCTACATGCTGCTAAAACACTGCCAAGATAACGCGTACTTTGCACACTGGAGGGGACGTAACAGTTTATAATTGAAGAAGGTGGTATCCGGTAAGACACAAGTCTAATGCTAATATTTCACAATGCGAGTCTTACATTCTGAAAAACAATTTCGCCTTATGGCATAATTTACTTGATACAAGGATCATTAAACCACCACCACGTGATTGCCGATCTAATCAAAAAGAACGAAAACCTGCAAGATGGAAATTTTTATCTGGTGTAACCCAAGTTTCTTGGAGAAATATATCAAGAATAAAATATTGCAAAAGTAATGTAAGTTGGTTGAGGCTGAGAATATAGAACGACAGTTCCACTGTAGTACCCTCAACTGACTTAGGGTGTTGGGCGCACTGCAGAGGCGCATGCCGCGCCCTTGTTAGCATCTTTACGTGAAATAGCTGATTCGTTCCGTTTAGTTTTGGACTTTAGATCGGTGAAGATAGGGGATCTGGTTCGATTATTAGTTCGCATATCGAGTTCCACATTCGTTGCAGCACTTGTGCTCGGCTGAGGCGTATGTCAGTCCAAGTGCACCTGTGTTCCTGACTGCTTAGCCTTGTCTGTAGATGCAGAAAGTTCGTCGAACACTACATTGCGTAGCTGAGTGGCATCGCTGGTAATGTCCGATACTGCAGGTTCTGTACTAGTCTGTACTGTTAGCCAAATCTGATTTGAAAGAATTTGCGCCAAACACTCAGAAAGGTTAGATATGAGTTTATCCATTGCCTTACTCACTGCCTTTTCCACAGCAGTTTCGATTGCCTGCGATAGATGTGAGTATATACTGGAAGTGTAGCGCGCCGTAATGCCAGAGTATCCAAAAGCCCTGTCTCTAACTCTGACAATGGCTTCCCTTCGAGAACAGCGGTGGTGGTGAATAACTGCTCGGATTTGAACCTCCTTAGAACGAGTGGAACAGTCAGTTGTCGGCGCGCACGCCTCCTCGCGGCTACGTCGACGCTTCGAGTCAGGATGTCAGACAATTGATCACTAAAACCACGCGGCGCGAGGAATTCTTCAATTTCTATTGGTGTGTACTCACACGCTCATCCTTTGTGCACATAATGGGCCTTTCCAATTTCATAGGTAATTACTAACAAGAATGACGTTGTAATACATATGTTTCCGTTCGCGTGGCCGGAACTACCCTGCCATTCTTTTGCTTATAGGTGGGTTAGCCAGAAGTCATAAGTTGATAAGAAGGCAGACGATATTTCAGTGGCTGTCAATGCGAATCAGAAAGTTGGAGGACGTTTGAGCTTCGCTTAGAGAGTAGAACACGATGGTGCAATCGGGACCCAGTTTGCATCACATTGTCGATAGCGTCGCATGGCATCTTGGTAGACACCTCAAACGTGCCACGAGGTGGTTGGTTGGTTTAACAGACAATGATGTGAAGTATGTCCTCTATACTTACTTGACAGCATAGTCTGTTAGTTATCATGAATGTTGTGTGTAACAGAAGAAAACTAGCCCTCAGACTTGAACTTCTTTCCTTTAGGTATGGCCACAAGTCATATGCCTTTAAACTGCTGTGTCAAAACTGGCACTTGGAATTGGGAGCTTCGAGAACGTACACTTCTTTTCTATAGCAGCGCTGTGTGACACTCTTTCCTTAAACGTTTGTTCGCGCGCCCACGAGTAAGGTGCACATTCACTCAACGTTTAAAAAAAGTGAAAGCAGTGTATGGCTGATTCATCTTTCAATAATATCACTTATACGGGACATTGTTCTACATTTCATTATGCGATATTTCACGCCTGTGAATTCATACAACGAGACATTTCTTACCTAGAAATATGTGAAAGTATGTCGAGTGTTTAGGTGTTCCAGGTTTTGAATAAAGACGGTACCAACCGATTCTGAGCAGATTTGTTACCACTCCCATTTTAGCATGACTGCTAAACTGTGTAAAGAGGGCAGTTGTCCAATACAAATTTTAATAGACTATGTAAATTGTCGGGTTTTTAATAAACCGCGCCGCTCTCAGAACACATGGATACAGTTGACGCGGTCCCAGCGAACCACACAAAGCATTTATTCAACTAGTTTTGCATCGACCATATCATCAGCCGAATCAAAATGCATCACAAGTGATCAACACTTTAAAGCAACCTTACACAATATAACGATACAGTCTATCAACATGACAACAAACAAACAAGGTTACGCGTAGCGGTGCCGCCTCACCACTAGGGGCCCACGGAAAAACGGCCCACGGCCCACGGTCTCGTCCCCACGGTCCCGCCGCGGGGAGGCAACCGTTCGCGCCAGCCGCCACACGCCAAAGAGAGCCGCTTATGTGTCATGTGCCGCCACCCAGACTCACCATGCAGCCGCCACGCTATGATGATGATGACGGTGGTAAACGCTCGAGAGCACAACGCCACTTACCACTCGATGGTCGTGAACCCTAAATGTGGCCTATGCGCGAAACACGTGTGCGCCACGAGGCGCACACGACTCTACAGGGGGTGTTAGCGCCACCACAACTCAACGTTGATTGATTTGTGGGGTTTAACGTCCCAAAACCACTATATGATTATGAGAGACGCCGTAGTGGAGGGCTCCGGAAATTTTGACCACCTGGGGTTCTTTAACGTGCGCCCAAATCTGAGCACACGGGCCTACAACATTTCCGCCTCCATCGGAAATGCAGCCGCCGCAGCCGGGAATCGAACCCGCGACTTGCGGGTCAGCAGCCGAGTACCTTAGCCACTAGACCACCGCGGCGGGGCACAACTCAACGTGACAGTAACGGTACGAATACAACGGTGCTCTGTCAGCACGAAAAGCTAACGGAACACAGACTTTTCAACAAAAGAAAACGCCGGAGGTGCGGAATGGATTCTGGTACTACAGATGTCGGGTTTACGAAATGATGTATTTTAACAGAAATACACTTGTGTTTGCAGCACGTAACTTTATCAGAAGTATGATGTCGCGCCTACAAGGTTGCATGGACAGGCAAACACCACTTGCTAAAAGAATTGTTGTTGCCACCTAAATATACTTTGCTTAATAATTTTGATTGATATGCGAGATTTAACACCCCAAAGCCACCATATAATTATGAGAGACGTTGTAGTGAAGGGCTCCGGAAATTTCGACCGCCTGGGGTTCTTTACGTGCAACCAAATTTGAGCACACGGGCTTACAGCATTTTTGCCTCTATCGAAAATGCAGCCGCCGCAGCTGGGATTCAGATCCCGTGACCTGTGCGTCAGCAGTCGAGTACCTTAGCCACTGTACCCCCGCGGTGGAGCTGCTAATTAACTTCAAAGTACTCAACTTTATGCCCTCATTTCAGTAATGAAGTAAAAGTGTATTATGGTCTGAAGTCACTCCATTCATTAGGCTTATTTTAAAACGATCTTGATTCGGCATATATGTGGTCAAAGTTAACCCTCGTCTAGCGAAAGGTCCGCGTTCTACTATATGAGCGAAGGCGTGGTTATACGCAGACGACGGTATTCTTATTTTATACATAGCTCCGTATCACTGACGCGCCGTAGCCGGGAAGCGTTTTATCAGCAAGATTACTGTATATTAATACAAGGAAAAGGATCCGGTGATCTGGCTTGCCTTCATGTTGATGCGGTACTGCACAACTAAGCACACAAATATAACGCGTTTAAGCAATTGAATTGCACTTGACATGGTTACACCTGTCGTAACAAGATCATTGCTCTGTCTTTAGGCTGCATGACGTGCAGGTCGCTGCGGCTAACACTGGAAAGTATCAGCAATGTCACCAACAAAATAAAGACTTGTAGACTTGGCGTTAATACTGCACGCCACAGTGTAAATTAAATTCCACGTGGCACTTCCAACACTTCTCTTTTACACGGCACTATGTGAAAGGCGAAATACATGTTCCCATTTATATATACATTTTTAATACTTAGATTCATTCGGCAATGCGCGTAGTGACACACTGCTTTGTTCGGCGCAGGCATTGAGGCATGGCGGCAGCAGATGCAGCTGGAGCGCTTCGTGCTGGTCGGCCACAGTCTCGGAGGCTTCTTGTCCGCGTCGTATGCGCTCCGCTACCCACATCGCGTGGCTCACCTAGTACTCGACGATCCCTGGGGCTTCCCGGTGTTCGACCCGCGAAGGTCGGGTGGCAAGCGCATGGGGCCCTGGTTGGCACCGCTGCAACTCTACTGCAACCGCTTCAACGTGCTCTCTGGACTACGAGCGTCTGGTCTCCTCGGTGAGCGCTGCTTCAGCCAGCACACTCATCACGCTGCGCGCACTGTTTTGAATATTGTTTAAGTGGCATGAAGTTAGGCGAGAGCATAGAAGAAGGCAGAGGAGTAAAACCAGGATAATTGTTCGATTGACTTATGTGCGTTCGTAGTAAGATGAAAAGGTACGAAAAATCATCGTAATGGTCATATAGGGTTTTGTTGCATCCTGCCTACGTAGCGTTCATAAATACTGCATTATAAACCAAGAACGAAGCAATTTTTGTAAAAAACTTCTGAACTAAATGTTGCAAAATGTCTAGTCCACGCAGCTTTCGGGATATGCGTCTACATGTATACATGTACACGCATATACACAAGTATACTAACAAGTATACTTGTTAGTGGTTGCATCGTAGCGATGTCCTTCATCAAATATCCATTGCTAACAATATATCCACTTTAAAGGGGCAGACGTCTGCTGTTTTATATATGCGGGATTCCCAGTCATTGGCTAAAAGTTTTTTTTTCAAGAAAATATGCTATACAGCTCCTGTACAAGACTTATATCGATTTGATATATTTTGTAAGTTTTAAGTGACACCTACGTGCCGAATAAGTGTGTCTGCCTGTGCCCTCCTTTCCACGATGACGCAGCAGAACCTTTACCTCATGATTTTTCACTTTCGCAGGGCCATTTATAATGCAAGCAGCACTCAGTGGTGCTCACAGCCTCTTTGGTCGTGTTGTCACGGATCCCACCGCTATTCCCAATTACGTGTACCACTGCAACGTCCGAAGACCGACGTAAGTGCGCATACAGGATGTGGGAATGCATATGCCGGAAAGTATAGAAGCACACATGACCCTCTGCTCTCAGTGCTAAAGCCTTTCCAACTTTCCGAAGTTTTACGCAAGGGGGTGCCGTATTCAAATGCACACCTTCTATAACGTTCAAGTTTGGCAAAATCGCCATCTTTGACTGCGTGTACTCGAACCGGGGCGTGATCTATTGGTTTGGTATTTCCTCTAAAGCCTGTGTTCACTGATTTTTCGTTTGCTTAGACTGTTTTGTTAGCCATCGTCGTTGCTACTGACCAATTCTTCACTGTCTTAAGCATGCTTTCGCACTGGGGACCCGACAAAGTTGTCGTAACAGAAAACAGGTTGACTACAGTTTATCAGTTTTGCGCCTATACGCATACAAGTTTACGGTGCCTAAATTTGTGAGCAATAAACATAGCACAATCCTTCATCTCCACAGATATACCTTGTCCTACATTTACCTCGACGATGTTGATAACTAGGTCGAGGACACGTGCGAGTGGTCAAAAATATGGCTATTGAACATCGTCTATATATCATTTAAAATGCGCGGGGTCTTCGCCTGGCGTGCAACTATAAGAGACTGGAGCCGCACAACTACCGTATTTACACGCATAATTTGCACCCTCACATAATTTGCGCACCCCCAATATTTTGCCAGCTTTTCGGAAAGAAAAAATTATTTGCTCGCACATTTCGCACTCCCGGACCCACCCGAGCCAGCTCGCCGGCGCACGCACCTTTGAACCTTTCGATGCATCTTTCGGTGCTTCGGCCAGGTGCGCGCCTCGCCGCGCAGACGAGCGCAGTCAAGCAGGCTGCCAGTGCGAAGTCCCTTCTTCTGAGGGGAGGGGGGGGGGTTAAATTAAAAGAAGAGAAAAGAGAGTCCCGTAAGTGTCTCTCAGGGGAAGACACCTTGAGAGTAGCTCGTGAGGGATGGGGATAGAGAAGGAATTAAAAGGATAAGATTAAATGTTAAAGAAATAAAGAGAGAGGAAGGAGAGAGTGAGGCGCATGGACAGCGAACGGCAGAAGTGAGGAGAAGTTTGGAAAGGCGGAGATGGTCGCCGGAGTCCGAGGACGGGGCACCACTGGCGAGAGCTCTTGTCGGCGACAGGAGATGGCGTAGGGGTAATCCAGTCGGCCAGAGCTACGCTGTCGTCGTCGTCGGGAACCGGCGTCAGGAGTTGGCGTAGTACCAGCCCAGTGGGCCAGAGCTGCACTGTCGTCGGAGATCGCGAGGCCACAACCGGTAGGCACGGAATCTAGCGAGCGAGTTTTTTTCCGAGGACTTCCCCCGAAGTACTTTCCCCCTGGACGCTACATGGAAATGCTGTTCTCGTCAGTTTTCTTGCCGCCAACAAGGCGTGGCGCAGCCAGCCCGTGGAAGGTCTTCGAATTTACTTAACTCACTTACTAATGCCGCAATTCAGGTGACGAAAGTAAACGATGTTGCAACGCGAACACGCCACACTTGCACCGTTCGCGTGGCGTACTGTGTTGCGGACACACGAGTGCAGCGGGAATACATCTCTGCCGCTGCTTGTTCGTTCAACCGTGATGGCCAGATGACTTGCTATGCGAATGCAGTATGGATGAACAACTTTATTTCTCTTAGGCCCTGCGCCGTGCTCCCTACTGGGCTACAGAAATTAGGCGCCTTCTTCTTCTTCTAACCACTACCACTACCACCTATTTTCTCCTTGTTAAAGGAAAGGTTGCAATAGGACAGAGGGTGGTGGGGAGAAACTATTTGAAATAGACCTCCTCTACCACCTGAGCCCACTCCACGATGGCTTCCAGAATGTCGGCCCTTGAGCTGCGCAAGGCAGCCTCCCACTGCTCCTCACTATAAATTAGGCGTTTCAGGAGAGGGGGAAGAGGGTGCTCAGGGCAGCGCCACATGATGTGGTTCAAGTCTGCTGTGGAAGAGGCGTAGAATTTACAAGAATGAGTAGGCTAACAGGAAGGATGAATGCAGTGTGGAGGTAAGGGAAAGTTAAGGTGCGAGTCTGCAGCTGTCGTCACAGAATTTCGCACCTTCGCGGGGATTGGTTCACGAATGGTGGGAAGATTAAGCGTTTGAATTGATAGTGTGTGGTTAGAACGCTTAACGTCCCACCACTATGCGCAATTTCAGTAAATTGTCGGCCATACAGGCGCATATCACACTCGCGCAACCATGACCAAAGCAACACAAACACCAGAGGCACAACGCAAAGCACGCTGGCGACACTAAGAGCGTGCCCTGTTCCCCTATATAGCTCGCTGAGTTGAGGGTGCTCCTGTGCAAAAATCTTAAGCCTGCTTTACATGTACGTCAAAACACGTCACTTAATTCAGTACACTAAACGGTGTAAAACGGCACGTTTTTCGGTTGCGAACAAATCACACGATGTTATGGAGAAACTACAATTTGTGATTTTAAGTGGTCACGGCTCATGCGTAACTCCGTGGAATCAGGTGCACAGCCACAGCCGGCGCGTCAGGCCCTGATGCACACATGTTCAGGCAAGGCGCTCCGCTCGCGATGTTACATTTGTCTTCCAGCCTTCGTGCGGCTGTTAAGGTGAAAGAGCATGTCTAGAAAATTAGCGCTAAAATAAATATTACCCTTATCGCATTTGCTTATTGCAGCGCTGAGTGATTGCATCGGATAATGGTAACCACGAGAGCAAGAACAATGACATGAAGTCAGCGTCCTCAGTTTTTGTTACTGAAAGAACGTGTGAAATTGTCGTATATTATTCTCCGGCTTGATTTACGGGACAGCGACAAGGTCAAAACACGAGAAACTCGAAGCATGGGCGTTAGACTGGAACTATTTTAAAGCATTCTTAACGACTTTACACTACCACAAGCTATAGAGTAAACTCAAGTACGTGGTTGTGTGCGCCGACTCTGGTATAAAAACGTTTTTTGGGCGAGTCCCTGTCGGAGCAAGCCTTAGCGCGAGATGTATTTCTTCAGTGTGTCTGAGTGTGCTCTATATTTTTTCCGATCTATAGTTCTATCCATTTGCAGCATTGATATCAGCTTCATGTTGGCTCAGGTTCCCGCGTTTATACTGCCGTATACCCTCACAAACCTAAACGTCGTAGCGTTGATATGCCGGCTGAATATTTATTCATACCGCACTTGAGTTACCAGGAGTAATGAATTGTCTTGACATCCCCCCCCCCCCCCCACATGCACTCTTTCGTAAGAATCCCTTGATATAAATATCTCGTTTGAGAAATCTTTCTATTAAAAATGTCATTGCTAGATTTCAACCACTGATAAATCGTATATGAATGTACGAGATAAAGATGCGCAGTTACGTATTGCAACGATTATGCAAGATGTTGGCGTTAAAAAAATACACATGATGGTTGCAAGAGCTAATGGCATGCTAACCTATTCATGAGCATTGGCGTACATAATGCGGGCTGGGGGGTGGGGTCCAGACCTCCCTTTTTGTTCAACACCTTGCAATGCCCCCCTCTCTTATAGACCATCACACATTTTAGTGATTTGACAGTTAAGTATAGTGCATTCAACTTTTTAAAATTAGAGGTGGATTATTTCTTAGTTTGTACCGGTGTTTATTACCTGTCAGCAGTGTCAAACAATGAAAATCACAAAAGCCACTTGACCCGTTGAAAGAACACAGGACAGGAAAATATAGTTACTCGAGTTCAGAGCCATACTCCTTTTTAAAATTGTATTTGAAATCTTGTTTTAACTCCTATGAAAATAAAACAAATACAAACTTAAATAAAAAACATAATGGCCCCTATGGTCTGATTTTTGTCCCCCCCCTTTCTATATTTTTTTTCTTTATTTAAGCCACTGTTCACGAGGCGACTTACTCTGACTCAAACAGTCTCAAATAAAGCGATGATTTTTAGTCTGAGTGAGCCCGAGTGATTAATATTATTTGGATGAGTTTGAGCTTGAGTTAGTCCGGATGAAAAAAATTTTACGGTGTGTGAGTGCGGCTGAGGAAGAGTTTGGTGAGCGCGAGTCCGAGTGAGCCCTGGGGGCAAATTATATTTAACGAGTATGTCTGAGTTAGCTCCACAATATTTGCCGCCTATGTTTCTAGCACACCTTGAAGTTGCGCAGAATAAGTGTGATATTGATAAAATTTACAGCTGTCCTTTGTCTAAGCCGAAAAAAATAAGAAGATATAGAATTCCGAGACACATTGTTCATGAATCGCTGATCCATTTTTATCTGTCAGTTGTACCGGAAAGGAGTGGGGTACGAAATATGTCTAGAATTTATTGCGTGATGTATCATGCACATGTTCCTATACCCGGCCATGATATCACCTGTGCTACGCAGAGGTGAAGAAGCGTTCCGGAACCTGAGTGTATACTTCGGCTGGACGAAGAATCCCATGGTTCTGCGTTTCCTCGACCTGGATCCCGAAGTGCCTGTGACGTTCGTATATGGCAAGACCACATTCATCACGCGAAGCCCAGCCGAGCACATCAAGAAGACCAGGATTAATGGCTACGTCGACGTACAGGTGCAGACACAGCCCCTACGGGGTCGCTGGGAAAGCGTGTTCGCAATACCGCAGTCTGCTTTTTGTCAGTGCCTTCAACACTCTTGTCTTCGCCGGCGCGTGCTGAAGCGCGCGGAGGTCCTAAAGCTAGAACTAAAAAAAAATAGTTTTATTTTTGGACGCCGCATTTTCTGCTTACTACATTTCCTTCGTGTGGGTGTATTTTCGTTTAGTTCCATCTTTTTATTTATTGCTGTTCTTTTATAGGTCGTATATTGAACGCAGGTGCTGTTTCTTTTATTTATACTTGAATAGTCTATGAATGAAGAAATTTGCCAGGGGACTAGTTCTTACGCTGTATTTGTACAAACGGCAGATGTGAGGCTATCGTGATTACAGATATTATTCTCGAAGGGGGTTGTCCAATAGCTAACAGCACTTGATTTTAGAAGAAACCATCTATTCAAAGATGAACGCTACATCAACGCATCCGTAGCGTGGTGCGGGATCGTTAGGCTGTTGTACCTTAGCGTTATCGTAGGGCTGTTGTGTGCTCACACACGCACGCACGCACACACGTGCGTACGATAGATGGTGTTCTCAAATAATGCTATTTGCATTGGTCTTAGTGAATTCAGTGTTAATTTGGTCAAGTTCAATAGTTTTTTTTGCATACTGTTTGAAACTTTCAGTTTTTTTACTTTTCTTTTTTACTTAAATTTCTTGTTGAATATTTCTTTTGTTTTGTTCCGTACAGCTGCTCTATTGTGTGAGATAAAAACAAAAGCTTAAGTAAATGCAGAAAGATTAACCAGGTTGCACTTGATTCGCTGCATTTCACCGGAGGAGAGAAAAGAGGGCAGAAAAACAGTAAGCAAGAAGGAGAAAGAAAAATGATACGCTCTCACACATAGTATCGTTTATCACGCATGCACGGACTGTCACAACAGATAAATTACTTGGAGTCCAGTTCTTTTACGCTTGTCGTAGTGAAAGTAACCTAGAAACTGGGTTGTTTATCAATGCTTGCAAGAATTGATTGCCAGTTATCCAGAACTTGCAGTGCGCTTCGATCCTATGGAGTTGTCATTCGATCGATGACCGTGCGGATCATGCTAATTATTGATACAAATAGGGCGTAAACTTGCAGACCTTTGCCATGAAAATCATTAGCAGCAGATGCTGTATATTGCGGCAAATAGTTGTTATGATCAGTTTGGGCACGTGCCCAGTCTTTGAAAACTCGACGTTGTCTTAGATAGGCAGCTGCTGGGACAGCACACATCTACAAACCAAGAACCGCGAGCAGAATAACGTTTTATTTGGATCGCTCGTGGAAGCACCAATGCGAAACACCATCACCACTACCAAGCTGTACATGCTAGAAAAATGCACTGGGAGAGTGCCAACACCAGAAAAAGTCCCGCATACTGTTTTGCGTCAGGACGTTCTCGCACGTACGTAAGCAATGTGTTGACGTGTCCGAAGTCGGCCTTTTATCGCCTTCTCGCCTGTGTTCAATTCTCGAGCATGCTTTTGCGGGTGATATGTTAGTACATGTCTGTGGAGAATGTTTACGAACCGTATCGGTTATCGGTCGCCCTCGGCGATTTCTCGCGTAAGTCGCATTGAGCTTTCCGTGTTGCACGCCGACACAGTGCCCGCTTCTGTTTTCTTTAATGTCTGTTCGCATCTGCATGGCCGTGGCAAATCAAGAAAGCTGATGACTTGAGAAACGAAGAAACTGTTTTTGACTGGAAAAGTGGTGGATTAGCCTTTTATAAAATTTTATAAAGTGAACTGATGTTACCTTAACAGTCACCTAATCTATTAGAACCACTGAAGCCGGCTTCGTACGCATTTCCGTGGTCGTTTTGATGTTGACTCAGAGTATTTCTATTGAGCGCCGAGCTGACTTATTTCTGTTTGTGTGATGAACTATTGCCAAGATAAAAGAATTACACCAGTCGGAACCCGTCAAAGCCGTCAGGCAGCGAAAGTCTAAGCGGCGAAAATTCTCGAATGAAATAATAATAATAATAATAATAATAATAATAATAATAATAATAATAATAATAATAATAATAATAATAATAATAATAATAATAATAATAATAATAATAATAATAATAATACACTTGAAATTCTGATACACGAAACCGGATCTTACAAACTACGCGATTTAACGAAGCATTTAGCAAAACAGATGTATATAAAAGTACGTTTTACCAAGTTCATGGTGTCTAGAATGTCTGGCAGTATACTGCAAGACTAGAAGCGGAGGCTGACGGAGCGGAGGCATTCTAGTTTTGCTCCTCAGAAAACTACAGACCTAAACTGCACGGTGTGATAGACTGCGCATTTATTTTCAGGCTTCGGGTCTCTTCCACCACTTGGCAAAAGCACGCAGGTCAGGCGTCAATGTCGAAAGTGTGCGTTAACTTTCACTTACACGCTTTTTAAGTGCTCATGGGAAAGTTAGTGGCAAGTACAGTGGCTTGGTAGCGTTTATGAGACTCTGCAAATTTTTTTTCACGCTTGAAAGGGTCGAAAAATCTTGTACTCAAGTTTACAGAGTTTCTGATTTAACAAACTAATTTCCAAGTCCCGGTAACTTTGTTAAATCAATGATCAACTGTAACAGTACCAATATTTTGATGGACCACTATGATAATTTAGCATAATCATCATCGTGAATTAGAAGCATCATCACTTCCTTTTATTTCTTTATTAATTCCTTCCCCTCATTCTGGTCCCGTGACCTGCATGAAGCTTAATAATACTGCTACTACTACCACGATGACCCATGGTAGACGAAGATATCTTCACTGTGAAGCGAATAAACGTAAAAGTACGAGATCTGAAAGACTAAGGCCCGTATTCAAAAACTAATCTTGGTCTCACCCCACGCTTTCCTCAACTTCCTGTACTCTCTACATGCGTTATAAAGGCGCAAGAGATAGTAACAGGGCGAAAGATGAGGACAAGACTGGTTTATGAATACTGGTCAATTTGTTTATCACACGCAATAAAAGTTTAAAACTGATAAAGAAACCTCGAGGAAAGGTCGGGGTTGGTTTGTGAGTAAGGGCCTAAATATTAGTGTTAATAACAGTTCCTCAGGCTTCATGCACAAATACACAATAATAATATAAGGCATGCCATAGGGGAGGGCCTTGGGTCATTTCGATCACCTGGGATAAGTTAATGCACACTGACATCGCATAATACGCGAACCTTTTCCATTCCACCTCCAGCGAAATACGACCTTTGCGGCCAGCTTTCAGCTCCCGTATTTCGTCCGAGCACCGCAATCACTGAGCCACCACGGTGGCGAGGAAGAAAGATATCAGCAAGGAAATACGCAACTTTAGAAAGAAAAGCTCAGCATAAAATTAAACACAGCGTATAGCTTCACGGCAGTACCATTCCGCTGCAGCCGTAAAGCAGGCTCTGTTGCACAAAGGATAATATAGCGGAAAAGAGCTCTTTCTTCAGTCGAGTCTTGATTTTGTGGAGTGTTATTATACTCACAAAAATTTTCGCAGATTCTGAAGTATTAATGCCTGGCAACAGTTTGTAATTGTTATAACAATAGAATGTGTAATTACTGCATGTTGACCTACTATTTAATGAATGGCGGCCGTCCACGCCTGGAAATGCGGTGACAGAAGCTAACTTAAGACGCAGAATGTCTGATGAAGCTAACTTCAGAAGTAGAATTTCTGATGAAACGCTATACAAGTGACTTTGGAGTGTAAACAGAAAAAAATAATGTGCGGAATATAGCTATACTCCGATACAGCTTTAGAATTCTGCGCTGTTTCCTTCTCAATTGCGGATGTATACAAGCCTGCCTCAGTCGGCACACACTTCGTCCTTACGTCACAAGCTGGGCGGCCGGTGATTCCGCTTTTGCAGAACATGGCCGAGTGTGTGAGAAGGATTAATATTATTTTTTTAGTCGTGCAGGTGCTTCGGTAATCTGAGTGGGGTCTCTCCGAAATCCTTAACTAGTACCGTCTGTTGATGCGAATGACTGAATAGGGAAGACATTTTAAGACATATTAACGGACTCCTCTCTTCAAACTGCGCCTCTAATTCAAGATTAGTAGAGTAATGTTTAGTTTGTCATTTGTAAGGTAATTAGCACCCAATATTTATGCTTGTGGTGAAAAGGCAGTGATGACCCGGAATCGCAGGTCTCAATATAATAAATTGTGCGAGTTTCATTTTAAAAGTTTCACCAAAGTTATCTGCTGTGCAGCCATACGAGAATGGCAAATTAATGCAATACAGTCAGTCCTCCATAGCGAGTTAATAGACAATGTACAATAGAGTGAAGTAGATACGCTTTGAAAAGTCGCTTAGATAAGAATATTTTTATTGGGTTAGTGCACAGATATTCAAATGGTTACCGTTAATATCACAACCCTTTCTATAATAAGAAGCTTTAGAATAGCGCACCGCGAGCCCTTGCGGTGTGGTCGCTGCCACTGCGCATGCGTCGTAACGTGAGGCAGCGTTCGCGTTCGCGGACCGCACGCAGAAAATCCGAAATTGCGTGCGGTGATGGCGGCCCGAGCGTGGCCCGCAAGCGCTGATTTCGAAGCCACGGGCGGTCATGGCGGCCCGCATATGGCCTGCAAGCGCTAGTTTCGAGGCTACGGTGTCGCTGCGATCGTGCGTTGCGGTTCGCAGCAGGGCAAACGCTATTCTAAAACTCTTATGGCGCCCGCTTCGCCCACAACGCCCGCAGCGCTTGCAAACGATATTCAAAAATTCCCTAGTGTATACTGTTTCTCCTAAGGGAAACATTGGTAAGGAGAGAGAGAGAGAGAGCGGAAGGCCGGGCATTAACCAGATATTGGATGCTACCCAGCACAGGGGGTGTGGAAATAGAGGCAAAAAAGAGGAGTAGAGAGACAAAAAACAAGAACGCACGTGCACTCACGAGAAAATAAAAACGAACACGGGAAGGGTGTTCTTGCTACAACTGTTCAGAAAGGCCCGTCAATCGCACAAGCCGCAGTAGCGCTTCTAGGGCCTTCTTCTGTGATGTTATATTCTGTCGATATTGTAAAATTCTTTCCTCCGACAGAGGTGAATTATCTAACTTGCTGAGTTCCTTGGGAAGGCATAGTCGTTGTCAGGCTTTGATAGATATGCCCTCAAAATAATATATCCAGCAAACTTTCTCTGTCAATGAAAAATGGGATGATCAGTCAGACGTTTCTTGAAAAAGATAAAGATGCGCAAAAGCGAGAACGGCCCTCGACTTCCACAGCTCTTGCGCTACCAGGAAATAGAGGGACGACTGTCAATAAGAAAATAAGGTTTGGCTTATCTCACTACAGTATAAGTGATTATGCACAAAGTGATGAGCAATGAAAAAAAAAATGAGGATGCATGTAAAGCCAGCTAACAACGACAGATTAACTTTGAATACGATATAACGTCCAGCGAAAACGTTAAATTACTGTTTATTGGACTATCGATGCAGGTGTTTGACAACTGCGGCCACAACGTGCACATGGACCAACCTGAGAAGTTCAACGCACTCGTCAACAAGGTGTGCGACCTCGCGAACAGCGGCGTTAAACTCGGATCGGCCTTCTACGCAGCGGACCGACCAGCAGAAGAGTAGCTTTGCGTCTTGTGCCGGGTGTGATCTTAGTTTTTTTTATTCACTGGCAATCGAACAGTCAATGTGGGACCACCACGTGGTGATATGCAAGCAAACGAGCACTCATCATTCATTTTACGGCCTTGGACACAACTGAAAGTGCCAATACGTCAGTAATTGTGGGTATGTTGCTACGCTGCATCACCTCGACAGGCAGGCATCGACACATATTTTTTACACTAAAGATTATTTCTGAGAACAGTGGTATTAGGTTGATCTCCGTAGTATTTGTCAAACCCCCCCTCCCCCCTCTGCACCAAAGCCCAACCAGTGACAACCACTTGGAAGCTTTGTGGGTTTTGTCAGTCATTTTTTGAACAAGAAGACTACATATTTAGGTTTGTAAAAAAAACAGAACAAAGTATGGGGTTGCTATTGAATTAATTAATCACAGGGCTTTGCATCACTGAATGGGCAAGGTAGCCCAGCAGAAACAACTGACACAAAGACGACAGAGGCTACAGCATGTTTCTGCCTCTCTTGTATCTGTCTTTTGCTACTGTATTTACTTCTTCCGTCATGGTTACTCAGCATGCATGACTCGTCAGCCTTTGTTGTTTTCTACTTGCGCCTATATTCAACTATGCAGGCTTCTTGCAGTTTTCGCATGTCGCGTATATTCACAGCAAGGATGACCCTGCATGACTCTGGAATGCAAATGTGCCTTTGAACTTTAAGAAGAAGCCTGCCAGAGAATACAGTCATTTTCAAGTGCTGTGATTATTTGAACAATGGAGGTGGTGTGAATCAACGTTGAGTGTAGAGATTCGAACATAGTATTATAGAACTTCAGTTTGTCGCAAGTCCGTATTTATGTGAATTACTTGTTTTCAAGATTACTATTAATATTGTTTTCTATGGAAACAGAAGTGTATATTTGAACGCTACTTTTATTGTTAAGAATTACTTCTTTATCAGTTTGCGTTTTTATTTAGTTTATTCGTGTACACTTTCTCACCATTCAACCAATATTTGATCAGAATTTGCTCTTATTTAGCTACAAACGTCAAAGCTTTGCTAAACCACTGACTCAATCTATACCAGTTTGCAAAGTGAAAGAAACTTCTATTTGTTTAACACAAAACATTTTGCTTCACAAATAGCACCTTTTAACTGAAAGTGATTCTGACGTCTTTGCTTTCGTATATAAGTAAATCCAGCGAAATTTATTTGTGTCTAGACAATCACTTAGGTACCTGGTTAACATCATTGAACATGTACAACTTGAACACTATTATTATTTTTATTACTTCTAAGTTATTTGACAAATATGAATAAATTAAAATCACTCGGACACCTAGTATTATGTATATTTGATGAAGTGAGATAACTAGCGTTTTTCTCGATATGCAACAAGAACACAAAAAGTGAGCCTTACCCGCTTCTTTGTTGCTTAGGGGCTTTTTAAATAACACCATTACTGCTGCTGCTCTTTTTTTCTCAGCTACTGAAATTGCTGATCAATTTATGACTAGGGTATGAGTGTGTTTGCGCAATTATTGCCTTTATTATTTCGGCTTCCCTTCACACTTTGCAATTCTGAATGTGTAGGGTGGCCAAAAATCCCACCGTTGGTGTGACATTCATGTGTAACTTGTGCGCCGCGCGCCCAATATCGCAATGCATAGTAGCAGACTGAAATTTAGCATTCGGTACTCAGTCAAGTAATGCCGTTTCTATTATTTCACCTATGACGCAGGTCACTCCGTTACGCAACCGATACGTCTCAGTAGATAGAGGTGTAGATGAATTTTATGAGCACTATCTTTAAAACATTAAAATCGTTAGTGTCATCAAGCTCATTGTTTTTTTTCTATCGCGTTCCTTTAGCCTTGGATTTTCAGTATACATGAGTTTACTATCCTCAAAAGTTCTGTCTTTATTGTTTTTCGGGGTTTTTATTTGGTCTCGTCCCCATCACTACGTCGCCGATAGAAGTAGCTTGTTTTTCTTTCCAAGCAGATGCCACATGACAGATGCCACGCAGTACAAATGTTTAAGGCCTATAGCCATGCGGTAAAGAGCAGTGACCTCATGAATGCACGAGGCACCGAATCACTTGAGAGGCATTATATATAGCTATATTGGTGACATTCACAACGCTTATTTAGATGCTAAAATGTTTACCAAGTATATAATGTTGTATGAACAGTGCGACAAAAGGAAGCATCACACCGCTAGCGCCCCTCATCGTCAATTGATATCACTGCGCTTGAGCGGTAACGTTAACCCTCGCAAATACGTCATGACCACGATGCTCCTAGCACCTGCTAAAAGTCACTACAGTGAAAGTGCGCATCAAAAACTTCTTGTTCCAAGAGAATCACCGAAGGGCTTTACGTAAGCCTTCCTAATTCTTCGATGGGTCACGCTATGTTTCATTTGGAGAAAACTAGGGAAAAAATTGAGCCAAGATTCAGCTGTAAACACAGTGATTATCAGTACTCGTGATGCTCGAGGACATTCATAGCTTCTACAGACGTCTTGGAGAACAAACGTTTAGTATATATAGAGTACGACCACAGTACCCTATGGGCAGCATAGGAACTTACTGAACGTGCTTCCTTGTTTTTTGCTTTTTTGCTTCCTTACCAGCGCTCGCATAGTTGTATAGCTCCATACGAGTGCGTTGTTAGCTGCTTTGTTGAATAGTCATTGCAACCTCAGTCATTGCTTGTTGATAGCTGTTTTGCTTTTGTTGATTTTGTACCCATGCCAAAAAAGAACGAAAACAAAATAGTCAACTGGATATTTTGCGTATGACGCTGTAAGCAACTGCATGCTTTCAGACTGCACCAAATCAAATCACGCAAATAAATTTGAATGCTTGTTTTATGCTGTTGACTTTTCTTTAAGGCAGTGTATGCACATTCAAATGCAACACAAGAAAAAACGCCCAAACAATTTAAATACACTCCTTCCTTGCGCTGTTACCGGTAATTAAAGTGCCGTTCATCAATAATTTAGCTTGATTTCGTGGTACGAAGATGGACAAGGAGGACTTCGTTTGGCATAGCATCTGACTCCATCTAGTACTTTGTCTAAGCATAAATTAGGTTGTAATTAAAAAAATGGCATATCTCATGCATTGTAGGAATAGCTTTTATGCGAAGCAGCCAGGGAATACCAGCCGATATGCGGTAATTCTCGCTTTGAGCCAAATGTTGCGAGGTGGATCGGCACCTTTGTGTAGCTGAGTGGTTTTTTGGATACCGTGGTGTCTTCAGGCCAGTAGACTTCACTGGCGCGTAAAGGGCGCCTCACAATCTGACGTAATCTGGTCACTCACCGTTCCAGCAAAGACGTCACTTTTTTCGTAACGAAGTGTAATTGATTGATTGATTGATTGATATGTGGGGTTTACGTCCCAAAAGCACCATATGATTATGCAATACGCCGTCGTAGAGGGCTCTGAAAATTTCGACCACCGGGGGTTCTTTAACGTGCACCCAAATCTTAGAACAAACAAGGGCCTACAACATTTCCGCCTCCATCGGAAATGCAGTCGCCGCAGTCAGGATTCGATCCTGCGACCTGCATGTCAGCAGCCGAGTACCTTAGACACTAGATTACCGTGACGGGGCTCATAACGACGTGTAAGCTGCAGTGCAATGATCTCAGTGTTATATGTAACGGTTTCTGGTATATTCCAGCAACGTTCGTCTACAGCGTGTTGAGAGGAGCATACTATCGCCCTCACTATGAGCTACATTACGCCAGCGCGCAACCGAAAGAACTGCAATGTTGTAAAGCGGCGTAGATGATGGAATATTTCCAAATTATCGATAGAGAGTCTGGCTGCCCCTGCGAGCACACATCAACCCTGTAAGAAACGAAGGGGTCCCGGACCCGATCGTCTGGTTACATTGTAGGTCAAAGAACAACTGAGCGAGCCAGCGCCCCTGGCTCGTGTTCATACCCACCGCCCGTTCTCTCTCCTTTATTTGCAACACACTCCCGAGGCCACCTAACTTGCGGCAATATTCGGGTGCCCAGCGGCAGAAGTTCAGGCGAACATCTGCGAACAAGATGCGAATGAGTGGAGGGGGAGGTGCTACACGGAGACGATGAAGTGGTTGGTAATGACGATGAAGCTTGGGGAGGCGGTGGCTTCTCTTGTGTAGGGAGTCGTCAATTCAAACTACAGTGTTTAGAGGACTTCGCGGTGACGTTTGGTATCCTTAATATTTCGTCTCGAGACCCGGTACGCTTGCTTCTCTGCTTAGCGCTGCAGGTCACGTCGACACGATGCCGCAATTCATGCTGGGGGCCTTTGCGTTTCTTGCGTCAATTTTTGTAGTATCATGGGTATGAATTTAGTCTGCTCTTGTACATTCGGAAAGATTCCTGATAATCATCGTAAACCTTGCGCTGTTGGCGTTTTATGTCAAACCTCTGCAGGTGTGGCGCGAATATGCTCCGCTTGATCAGTTCGAGGGCGAGGTGGTCCTGATCGTGTGTCTGGCTCACAGGTGCATCCGAGCTAGAAAAGTTTTGGATAGAAAACGATTGTTCTCCGCTCAATGAGAATGACAACGCCGAGTCATCCTGGTTCCGTCGGGTGGTGACCTCGCCAAGGATGGCCCTCTCGGCGGCGTCCGAAGGCATCGGAGATTCATCCGCATGCTCCCTTGCCAGTAGCAGCTTATCAGCGTCCGTCCCGGTGTCGCGAACGAAGGCGCACATGGAGCTGACGTCTTTGAGAGCGTCATTACGAGTTGTGGCGGTGCATTTGGTGACATCACTGCGGGAGTCTCCCGACGACTTGTGTATATCACAGTCAATCCCGCTTCACGAGAGTCCTAGTTTCGTCCTGTTTTCTGCATGAGGCGCATGGCGTAGTGCTGGAGCTGCGTGGTGTGGTGATTGTACATCAGGTGCAGGTTTCTGGCATCAGGCGCCATCTTCATGTGATGTTCGGTAGCGTTGTGAATGTTCATGGGGTGCATGTCCTCAATTGAGTGCCGCTCGTAATGGCGCTGCTGCTCGCTGCTCTGTGGGTGCACGGGGCTGTGCGACGGGCAGTATGTGCGTTTGCCCTCTTCGTCTGGCACGAGACACTGTCTTGGTGAGCTGCAGCTCAGACCACAGGAAACCGGGTCCTTGTGGTCGATGCGCATGGTGTACCCAGGGTTTCCTATGAACATCTAGATCTCCATGGCGTACCTTCTAGATGAGTCTTTGCGCTGAAGCACCGTGAATAACGTGGAAAGCGGCAGGTCTTTCAGCGTGCGCTCAAAACTCGTTCGAGTTGTGGTCGACGTTGATGTCGGCAGGCCACTGGAAGGCGAAGTTGTCGCTTGCTTCGACGTCGATGCGGGAGGAGTTTGGAGGCTGGTCGAAAGCGAAGTTGGGGCCTGCTGTGGTGTCGTTACGAGAGGAGTCGAGAAGCCGGTCGAAAGTGAAGTTGTGGCCTGGTGTGACGTTGGTACGAGAGGAATCGTGAGCATAGTGGAAAGAGAAATTATGGGCCAAGAAGGGGTGGTGGTGGACCATTGGCCATGACCTTGTCGTACCGACGTGTTGTTTGCACGCTGTGAGTTGTTCGTTTCATTGTTGATTGCACACAGAGAAGTTGATGTCGTGCCGTGCATCGGTGGCAATGAAGGGTTTTGGCGGTGCGGCAATTTGCAGCGAAATGGTTGTTGTTTAGCGCAGCGAAAGCATAGCTTCTCTGCGTGAATCCCCTTCCGCATATCTTACAGAGAAAGACGTTCGGAGCATTCCTGGAGAATGTGCTCAGGAGAGGTGCATAAGACGATCGATGTTTAGCCGATAAAGCCGCAGCGGACTGCAAGGGTGGCTGACGGATCAGCAAATTTCGCTGTGGAGGCCTCCGGCTTGTATATGATATTGGTTCCTAGAGATCGCATCTTCCTGTATGTCTACTTGTACTTTGATGAAGCTCAGGAGGTCTTTAACTTGTGACTGGGTTTCCCAGAATGCTGTGGCGTTCTCAGTTAGCACGATTTCTTTCTGTCGTTGGCGATAGAGGATGATCAGGTCTGGGGGTGACGTCTTCAAGATGTGCCACAGCACTGTCTAATACCCTCCTGGAGACACTTCGAGACCGTCTAGGGCGTTCGTGTGGAAGGTGGCTTCATCGTATAGATTTCGTAGCTTGGTCACGTCGGCGAAACTTCGGAGTGGTGCGACTGACAGCAAACTGTCGAGATGGCCGTCGACTAGCATGTCAAGGTGACCGAAACGGTCCGACAGGATATGAATGGTGATTTCATAGTTCACTTCAGCCAGGCGAATACCCTGAATGGCTGCCTTCGCTGCTCCAGTCAGGTATGTCAATAAGCATTGAAACTTGTCAATTATCAGGATCCAGTCGTTGTTGTGAATACTGGCTTGAAACTGGTCCCAAAACCCTTCCCAGTCGCGTCGTTCGCCTGAGAAACTCGGGATGTGCAGCTTGGGCTGTGCGAATCAAGACGGCGTTGTGGGAGTCGCAAGGCCAGGCGAAGGCGAAGTCGCGGCCGGCTGCAAAGTGCCGGCGAGGGGGTCACTGAGTGAAGCGGTTGTGACGTCGACGTATGCGGGTGGGGTTGGCGACTGAAGCTCGGAAGCCCGTGGAACCCTTCCTTCAGCGCAGATGACCTGATATTCGTATTCGCGGGCGGTGGTATAGTCTGCCTCGAGGTCTTCACCGTATAGCGCAGCTTGAATTTCCTTGTCGTAGGTGATGAAGTGGGCGTGTTTCACCTCAGTGCTGTTGATGCGCACCTGGAGCCTGTGAGCAGGGGTCATCGAGTTTGCCAGTAGGGTGTCGAGAGTCGATATTGCCTTAGTGATGGCTGTCCGGTAGAAACCACGCTGTACTCGGAGTTGGCTCATTGTCGAAAGATGAGGGCCATATGACCGGGTGGGTTTTGGCACCAGAATGAAGTGTGTGAATAAACGTAGAAGGACACCCGGACCTGATCGTCTGGCTACATCGAAGGTCAAAGAACAAGTTAGCGAGCTAGAGCCCCTGGGTCATGCTCATGCCTGCAGCCCGTTCTTTCTCCTTTATTTGCAACAACTCCCACTTGCTTGCTAATGCCCTGAAAGTTGTCATTTCCGAAGCTGGTGTCACCACCACGGGGCAATATGACGGTGAGCGTGAAAGCAAACCGAAGTGACGAAGGCTCGCAAGAGTAGCCAGACCCTCCCCTCATAGCTCTAAAATATTTCCCGTTCGGCGCTATTTTATAACCTCACAGTGCACTTCGCTACGTGCTCTTGCGATACCTTTTTTTCATATCCGACCCGTATACTTCCAGGTAATGGAGTTACCCGAACCATGACGCTTTGCAGTGGTCGCCAGTTAACCCACTATCGTGGAGCAGCTTCTTGGTTTTGAGTGCGGAACACTTTAGGTGCATGGGCTGTCATGTGATGTAGTATGCTTTGATGGTATGCTGCAGTCACCACTCTTGAAAAACGCAGGCAAAACTACGTATAGCGAAGCCATCTGTTGCTCACTGAGCGTCCGATATCTCTCTTTTCTCGTGTTCCTCGAGCACCCTGATGATGATAATAAGTACGGAGCCCTTCAGGAACCCGAGATTTTGTACAATGTCGCTGCTCTGCATAAAGGAGGCCAAAGCGATAACTAGAAAGATATAGTAAAAAGGAAAGAAATAGAAAGAAAAATAGAAACAAATTGATACAAAGAGGGAAGACAAGAAAGAAAGAAGGAATTCAATAACAAAACTAAAGAAAATCATCGCCATATCTACGAAAGGAACGATGTTAGAGGCGCTTGCTCCGAGGTGCATGGGGCCTTTCTTGGCGAGACGATTTCCGTAGGAAGACTTGTTAAGGAGACGGTGCATGATGTGTAC